ATTCTGAGTATAATTGGATAAAATATATTTTATCATTAATTTTTTTCTAGAAAATCAATGCGTAACAACAACTCCTTTAAATAAATAAGAGTAATTGTTTAGCCAACTCGGTCAATTTTAGATTTTATTTTTGAGTGTTGTTGATATAAATTTTTAATATTTAAATTTAGATATAAATTATCTTTTCACGAGAAATTATAAATTTAAATAGATAATCTACACTTTACTCTCTTTTATACTTTTCAAAAAAATTCTTATCATTAAGAAATAAGAAATGAAAAATAAATAAACAAAAAAGAATAAGTAGAAAGGAGGAAATTTAGAAATTGAAAAAGTTATATATTTTTTTAAATTTTTTACTACTACTATCATATTTTTAATTTTCTTTTTAGATCTTGAAAATTTCAAGTGAGAAGAGTGGATGAGAGTTATGTTTTCTTTGGTGAATTTTTTGGTTCCTTTCCCATGTTTAACTATGAAATCATCAATAATTAATCTCATTAATCATTTTCAATGTATTGGAAACATAATTGAAGAATATATTTAATATTTAAGTTAAAGGGTAAAAAATGTCCAAAAATAAACTAGTTTATAGTGTGAACATGTCTTTTTTCATTCTGGCCAAATTATGGCTAAATTTTTATGGCCAAAAGGATTTTTCCCTAAATTAAATCCCCAATAAAATATATGGAGTGGATTTTTTTCACCCCATATATGATTTTAAGTCTCAATTAATAACTCCTAAGTTAATAAAGAATGCACATATTTTATGGTTCTTTAAATACACATCAATGGAGTCCAAATTCTGTTTTTGAAATTTAACACTAACAAAATTCCCCAATTAATTAACAGTTTAAGTTAATTTATAGGTCAGCCTCCAAGAAAAAAAAACAAAGAAATTTATAATCTTAAAAATAAAATAGATTAATCGTTATAATTGATCAAAATAACATGCAATGTAAGAAACTCTATTATAACAATGTTGTATATAACTTAAACTCATTCATATAATATGTATCTTCGGTGTAAGAAATACTTACACTATCATATGCATATATATACTCTCTATGTCTCATTTTATGTGATACCCTTTTCTTTTCAGTCTGTCCCAAAAATAATATAACCTACTATAATTGAAAACAATTTAACTTTAAAATTCCTCTTTTACCCTTAAGTAAAATAATTTTCAGCCACACAGATATTCAAAGATTGTTTTAGACCACAAGTTTCAAAATGCTTTTTTTTTCTTAAACACCGTACCAAGTGGAAACGATGCCACATAAAATAAAAAATAGAGAATAATTTTTATCTTTAATAGCAGATAACTTGTCCTATTTCAAAATTACAAAATCACATATTTCTTTAGATTGACACCCTTTTTACTAATCATAAATATATATATATATATATATATATATATAAAATTTGTATAATTAATATCACTATAGTACCCTCACCCACCCAAGGTCCCAAAAAAAGAACATCCAAGAACCAAAAGAGGGAGTGGTATTTATGAGTTGCTCCAAAAAGTGAAGCATATATAGAGCCCTCACAAGTTCTTTATACTCTAACTATCTCTTTCACAAATTGACATAATATCTACAAGTGTAGTAAACTCTCCCTGCAACATCTTCTTATCATTTTTCACTTTTGTTTCTTCAAAACAAACCAAGAAAGTCTTCAAACTTTATCAATAAGACAAAACCATAAAAACCCCTTTTTTAAAAGAATTGTTTTATTTTTTAAGGTGGTCCATTGTTTTGAGTACTAGAAAAAGAAAAGAGTATTTATCAATATATTGAAGGGGGTAGAATTTGTGTGTTTTCTTGAAACTTTGCCTTGTTTAGAAGGAAGGAAAAAATATGGATTGGAATGGAAATATTAGACCTTTTGTTTCAAGACCAGTTATTGATAATTCTCTCAATTTTCTCTACAACTACAATTATGACCAATATCAAGGTAAATATATTACAAAAAATAGCAATTTTTTTATTTATTTATTCATATACTATACATCATTCTTAGAAACTAACATATAATGTTACTTTTCATTGATTTAGAATATCAGTGTATAAAACTTAAACTCGTATTATAACAAGTTTTTTTTTTTTAAGGTATGGAAATGAAGCATGCAATGCAAACACAACATGGTGGAGTACAAGTCCCAACAATGGACAACAACAACAACAACAACTTTGTACTCAATCAACATCAATTGGACAAGAAGAAAAGGTTGTCAAGTGATCAATTAGAGTCACTAGAAAATAGTTTCCAAGAAGAGATAAAACTTGATCCAGACAGGAAAATGAAATTGGCTAAAGAACTTGGATTACAACCAAGACAAATTGCTGTTTGGTTCCAAAATAGGAGAGCTAGATGGAAGGCTAAACAACTTGAAAGACTCTATGATTCACTTAAACAAGACTATGATGTTGTTTCAAGGGAAAAACAAAAGCTTCAAGATGAGGTGACAATTCTTTCTCCATTTAATTTCTTGTATATCCATGCAATTCATGCACAATTGCATGTTCGGACAGTTTGCAACAAATTTTAAAGTGACAGAAAATTATAAATCGCAATCACAAAAAAAATGAAGAAACATAACTTTATTGATAAATATGTAGGTACAATTTTGTTACTCCCTTGATTCGGGGTCGTTAGTGGCGTATTTCTCGAACTAGGTTGATTTGGATTTGATCTCTTTATGAATACTCCATGAATTTGCAGAATATTTGAGATGCCTTTTTAAGGGAATATAGTACCCTTTATATATAGGTCTGAACTAGGGTTTAAGGTTAAGTAGCATCCAAGAATCCTAATTGAAATTGAACACACATCCCAACTCGAATTGAACACGTCTTGTAAAGTCTCACAAAATTTCAATATTTACCATGACCTATAGGTTACGAGTCCCGGTCAATACTGAAAGTAAAAGTCCATTGTAGTAACTTTGTGTGACCTACATAATTAATGAATTCAAATCATAAAATCAATCATTGATATATATCTTAGAATATGACTCCTTCATAGACGAGAGATGCTTCATGTATCATACTATCCATCAAATTTTCTTCTTGTCTATTTTAAGAAGACAAAAAAACTATTTTTGTGAAACTTAAAAATCTTAGTATATAATTGTGGTTCAAATACGAATTCAAAATTATTTCTTTATGGAATTTATTTTTAAAAAAAATAAGATTGAACTCGTTATATTTTTAAAGTTAAGAACTTATACCTATTATTTATTGAACTCATAATATTTGGTGCCATAATTAACTATGGAGACAATTTTTACTACAGTAGTCCACATCATTCTAAAGCAAGGTGGGCTTAATTGAATGCAAATAAATAAATGTTAAAAATAAATTTTTGTGTCCCCTAATAAAACCTTGTAATAAAAATTGAAATTGACACATCATACAACTTTGTTCCCTCTTCCCTTCCCTTTTCTTTTGAATTAAAAAAAAAAATTCTCTCTCATGCAGTTTTAATTTTGTACATGTTCATTTTCTCTTTCAGATTTAACTTATGTATATTAATATTTCAAAGAACAACGGAAAATCATAATTTTCGTTAAGAGTGTTCAAAAATTAATTTATATAATATAAAAAATAACATGTGACCTAGATATATGTATAATTTTCTATATACGAAATGTTTTTTTTATATACTTAATATAGTTTTTCAATGAAAATGTACAATTGAATATTTTTGAACCTAGTGGCTCTGTCGTTGCCAAGAAAGGTTTATTAGTTATTATACACAGTCTTATCTTATATTTTGCAAGAGGTTGTTCACAAATCCAACTTTAAAAAAAAATTATGGATGGTTATTTGTAATTTCTCTTGTATTTTTGGCTATATTATCCGAACATTTCAAATTGTATACATGTTGATTTATATGTTTTACTTGAGCCGATGGTCTATTGGAAACCACCTTTGTACCTCTAAAAAGGTAAGACAAAGATTGTGCATACTGCGTACGGTCCAGGGCTAATCTAGAGGTTCGATTCACTCGACTACCCTCAACAAAAAAATATATTGTATATATGAGGTATTATTTTTGTATGTCTATATAAATTTTGTATCCCTTGAACATAAGACTAGAAGTTGACTCAATGGTTTAGAATGTTCAAAATTCACCCTAAGGTTTATGTTATTGGCGTACAAACTATCCTTTTCAGACCCCACTTATATAATTGCACTGTATATATTATTGTTATTATTATATTGTACAAATCCTTTACACCGTCAATGTACAGAAGTTAAACTCTTTTCTTTTTTAATTTTTTTTCTTGATAGGTATTGGCATTAAGAGCAATTTTGAAGGAACAAGCCACAAAGAAACAAGTAAATTCCACAGTTTACACTGAAATATCAGGTGAAGAAACAGTTGAAAGCACATCAATGCCAAGTTCCAACAAGACAATTACAAGAGGAATTACTATAAGTAACCATCAAAATAATAACAATATTATGAATAATAATAATATTGCTGAATGTAGCTATGTTTTTAATAATGTTGTAGATGGGCTTAATCCAGTGATGCCACCTTATTGGGCCACTTTGCCAACATATCCATGAAGTGAGATTAATTTAACTTAATTGTGCTACTTCTAATTAATTTGTTAGGTTTAATTTTCTCTTTAATTAGCACCTAAGACAGATTAATTAGAAATTGAGAATAGAGTAGTAGCAGAGTTTAGTTTGATAAGTTGATGTTATATTTAAGATTAGGAGTACTGAGTGGTTTTTATTAGTTTGAAATTTGTAAGGTTGTACTATTATTGTTGTATTGACATTAATATCATCAGTTTTTTTTTAAATATAGTATAAGATGGTTGATGTTTAATTAATGTCATTAGTTATAATACTTTACAAATTTTGAATTTTGATTGAATCTAATCAGGCCTACGTAATCTTTACGGACAGTCATTGTCGTGGCATCAAATATATAAATTTGTAAAGACGATTACATGAGTGAAATAATAAAAAAGAAATCTATTCGATCAACAAAAAAGAAGAGTAGCCTTCATCAAACTTGGCAAGCCTCCTGTTTCCTTTGAAATAAATTGTACTCCCTTCTGAAATACTTATCATGTTTTGATTATCAAGAGTCGGTTAAATTATTTTTTAAGCTAAATTAAATTAATTTAATATTTTTATATTCAAACTTTGATATTTAAAAATTACACAAAAAGTTAGTACTTGTAAGATGCAATTTATTTGATATACAATATGGTAGAAAAATATACATCTTAACACAATTTGTGTTTCTACTTGCTCTTTAGTCTCCCATCATTCTTCTCCAAGTATGTTACACATAATTGAACATTAGGTGTAACATTTGTACTTTTCAAAAAAAATTATATGGTAGGTGCAACGATTTACTTCAAATACGAGGTCTCGTATTCAAGTCCAAGATGACATAGCTACACCAAGGAAGTAGAAATAGAAGCATCTGACTCTTCATGCATGCTCTACTTGGCTCGGAGAAAACAAATATATTTGGGAACACTTCCACTTTAATGGAAGGACACAACACTAAGAGCCCATTTGAATTGGCTTAAAAAGTTAGCTTTTAAGTCAAAAATAGAAAATCAAACTGAAATGACTTTTAAGTCAAAAAATAAAAAGTAGAGGAAAACCTACTTTTGATTTTTGATTTATTTTAAGTTATTTTTTACCTTACCAAACACTTCGTTACTTATTTTAAATCATTTTTTATATTTACCAAACACCTCCAAAAGTCAAAAACTAACTTAAAAATAGATTTGACCGACTTTTAAGCCAATCCAAACGGGCTCTAAATTAATCAAACTTCAAAACAAATGCTTCCTTTGTTCTTTTCTATCAATCATGCATCACTTCTCAACAAGTTAAAGAATTTTGTTCAATTTAACCAAATGATGTTTTTGCTCACCCACTTCCTTCTATTCAAAAGACTTACTTAAAGAAACAAAAAGCAATAAGTTAAAGAATTTTGTTCCATTCAACCAAATGGTGTTTTTGCTCACCCACTTCCTTCTATTCAAAAAACTTACTTAAAGAAACAAAAAGCAATGGGGTAGGCAAATACTACCATCAATACTTTGCAAGGAAGATAAATTTCTCATAATGGAACAAGATTATAATTATCATAACAGAATGAAAGTAAAGCAATCAGCATATTTGAAAACAAGACCAAAATTCAGAAATATATTGTTTCAGAGTGCGCTAAACGCTGGTGGATCAGAATAGCTACACTCAATCAAGATGCAAAATCAATCTAGCACTACTTAGAGAACAACATAAACAATAGCTTAACGTTTTCCACCACCACCGCCAAGCTTAGGGCCTTTTGATCCTCCCTTTGACACATTACCCTTACCTCCAGCTTTCTGTGACTTAGCCACCACCTCTGCCTTCTTGGCCTTCTTTTCGTCCTTTGTTTTCTTGATTCTTTCCTTGATTTCACTGCAGAAACCGAACAAACAAACTAATCAGTCCATCGTCAGCAGATAAAACTACTATGGTCAACAAGCCCATTTCAAAAGATGCACAAAGCCACATTGGCAAAATATGAGCTTGGTTAATACGCACCGAAGAGCAGCCTCCCTGGCAGCATCTCGAACTTCTGGCCTTTCAGCTCTCTTCTTCTGGATTACCTCCAAGGTTGCACCCACAATGGACCTAGAGTAAGGTTTCTTTGTGGCACGTCTCCTCTTCCTAACAGCTTCTTGTGCAATATCCTAATGTTACCGAGCACACGCACAAAAGAAAAATAAATTATAATTGGCAATAGTGCATATGAAATGGCAAAACATAAAGGCGGTAAAATCTGTTAACACATTTTTCCTCAATAAACTACGTAAACAAAGTGAATCTCAGGGTACAACTTCACATCACAAAGTTATATCGTTCAATGTTGGAATGTTGGTGGAAAAATTCCAAGTGGAAAGCAGAACGTTAAGTTCAGAAAATGAAGCTTGTAAATGCTTTATTCCAGACAAACCTTCTTGTGCTGCTTCCTGTACATGGCAGTCCATGTAAGCTTGGAAGGCTTCAGGCGGTTGTGGAAGTAATGTTTGCACTTTGAGTTGACAAATAGGAACACCTACAAGGACCAGAAAATACTATAAGCAATCATGACTTTGTCTCCTACCATCAGTACACAAATCACTTGAACTACCATCACCAAGAAATGGAATTTCATGTTACCTGAGAATCTGATCGAATAAATCTGATGCCCCTCCCAGGGTATATCTTGGCACCGCTGAAACGGCAGAGTTCTGTCCTGCAATGGAAATAAGAATAAAACTAATGAGTCATCAATTACAATGCTACAAAGGACCGGGGCAAAACCAAATGTAAAGGCATGTCAGCAATAACACAAGGAAGAGGTAACTCCTCTAATAGAACCAATGACTAGCTGAATCATTACAAATTCAGCCGGCAAGTACCTCCCCCGTTAAGGCAGTTCATAAATCATCTGTGCTTATTGTCAATGATATTTATCATAGGCAGTGTGTACATTTTTCAGACAGTGTAAAGCTGAATCAATTGTAACCATTCAGAATCATGAAAACATTGAACAATTCTCAGAAATAATATATAGGCAAGCAATGCAGCAAAAACATGTCATCCTCTCAAGGTCTTAAGAAGTTTCTTCAATAAATAAAGGTAGTGGTCATATATATACTAAAATTCCACATCGTGAGAACTACAGGACACCTCAAAGAGTATAAAAAATATTTGTAACATCACATTCAATGGTTCATCAAATAACGTAAGGTATAAAAGGAGCTCATTAAAACATAAATGTCAGTGCATTAATCTCCATTTTGACCAAACAATTAAGCTAGCTTTACAATAATCAGAGAAACAATACTCAGGTACATCCAATTTAATCTCTTAGTGAATCAATAAACAAGGACAAAACCTTAACAGTAACAATGCTTCTTCTCATCCATTTTCTCCACTCTCATATTAATCGTGCATTAATCAATCAAAAATAACTAAAACCCAAATAACCAAACACAAGATCCAAGAGGAGTGAAGTTACATTTTACCAATAGAGGGGTTTCAACTATGTTACTTGGACCTTCCAAAAATGTAGCCACCCCATGTTGGATCCTCCAAAACACCCAAATAACCAAACACAAGATCCAAGAAGCGTGAAGCTACATTTAACCGATAGAGGGGTTTCAACTATGTTACTTGAACATTCCAAAAATGCTGACACACCAATGTTGGATCATCAAAAAACCCATAACTTTTGCAGGATCCAATACACACCCAACCATACTTTAAAAGAGTCCGAGCAATATACGTATTCATGAACCGCTTCTCCTCCTACAATAGACTCCAATCTACACTACACATGTTCATAAATCTCCCTAAAAGGGTGATGAACACAATAAAGATTTGATTTTTAACCATTTCCCATGTAGTAAACAACCCAATTAACTTTTGGAGGACACAACACACTCAGCAGTACTTTCCAAGAGTCCAAACAACACAAGGTTTCAAGAACATCTTTACCTCCTAGGATAAACTCCAATCTACACTACACATGACCATAAATCTCCCAAAAACAATAGAAAAATCAATAAAGATACGATTTTTGACCATTTCCCACGTAGTAAAAACTCAAATTAGCTAAACCCAGAAAGGATCAACCTCAAAACACCTCTGATTCACCTCCATGAAAATGGTAAAATAAACTTTCTTGCAATACAATTATCAAATGGGGTTTCTCCAAAATACAAAAATTATAGAAAATTACAACTTAGACAGAAGATAACTTACTTTAGCACCATGGCTGATGTTGTTGTTGTTGCTGCGGCGGCGAGCTCCTCCTCCGGTGCGGTTCTTCAATGGAAGAAAAATAAAACCCTAACGACACTTAACTTTATATATTGGGGATTTGTTGTTAGGTTTTTTAAAGGCCCAAAAGAATATCAGATCTACTATTCAAGCCCAACTTAATGGGCCTCAATATGGGCTTGTGTACACAATTATTCCATTTTTAACCTTCGGAAATTATCTTTTAGGACAACCTTACATTCAAACATAATTCATATATCGTTCAATCTTATAATAATCATAACATACTCAGTGTAGTTTAATATGTGAGGTTCGAAAAGGATAGTATGTACAACCTTACCCTTATCCTTGTGTAGTAAGGAGGTTGTTTCCGATAAACCACAAAACATGATAGAAAGAAAAATAATGACAATAAAATAACAAGATAAACAGAGCAAATGTAGCAATATATAGTAGTAAAAATCGAAAAATAAGATATTACATTAATACGAAATAATACAACTAAATAAAAGCTCTCTAACGTTTGCAATAACCTACAAAATTTTAGAATACGGTCTAATATTTTCTCGTATGATTTTTAATTTGCTTAGAAGTGTATGAAGACACCTTTGATAGATTATGATAACTATGGTCAAAAAATTTAGATAGTTTATATGGAATGTTAATGTACAAATCAAATCGACAAACTTTAAATATTAGATATGAATTTAAAATAACATATGATCATTTAGTGAGACGATGGAGATAAGCTTCATCTTCAACTCTCATTTAAAAACTTTTTTGTACTAGTATATTAATACTTAGGTATTGTATAATAATACATATAAATTGAATTATTCATCAAAAGCATGTAAATGTTGAAATCATATTGGATTAAATAACTTAATCTTATCATTTAGATTTTTGTGACAAGGACAAAATTGACAACTGATA